ATGTCCATCCTGGAGCTGTGCCAGATATGCTAATCTTGTGCTCCAGATGGCCTTCACTCCTACTTTCTCCAGTGAAGGCTTGACGTCGTCGATATTGGCGCCCCAATCACGAGCTCCCCATGCCAAAAAATGTCCATCCTGGAGCTGTGCCAGAAATGCATATGCGGTGCTCCAGATGGTCTTCACACCTACCTTCTCCAGTGAAGGCTTGACGTCGTCGATATTGGCGCCATTATCACGAGATCCCCATGCCAAAAAATGTCCATCCTGGAGCTGTGCCAAAAATGCATATGCGGTGCTCCAGATGGCCTTCACCCCTACCTTCTCCAGTGAAGGTTTGACGTCGTCGATATTGGCGCCCCAATCACGAGATCCCCATGCCAAAAAATGTCCATCCTGGAGCTGTGCCAGAAATGCCGTTGCGGTGCTCCAGATGGCCTTCACACCTACTTTCTCCAGTGAAGGCTTGACATCGTCGATATTTGCGCCATTAACACGATCACCCCATGCCAAAAAATGTCCATCCTGGAGCTGTGCCAGAAATGCTGATTTTGTGCTCCAGATGGCCTTCACTCCTACTTTCTCCAGTGAAGGCTTGACGTCGTCGATATTGGCGCCCCAATCACCACGACCCGATGTCAAAAAATGTCCATCCTGGAGCTGTGCCAGAAATGCCCCTGCAGTGCTCCAGATGGCCTTCACTCCTACCTTCTCCAGTGAAGGCTTGACGTCGGCGATATTGGCGCCATAACCACGATCACCCCATGCCAAAAAATGTCCATCCTGGAGCTGTGCCAGAAATGCTAATTTTGTGCTCCAGATGGCTCCGCGAGACTCCGCTGCCATGGCACCGTTCAAGGAAGGTCTCTTGAGGGGGCTGTGGGTTGTAATCCCGCAGCACTAAGCCGAAGCTGCAGCTTTTCAGGTTATGGGCTGTTCTGATGGGTATATGTTACGTGGACCCCCATCCTGTAGTAGTGGTATAAGGGGAATATGAGAGAGCCATAACATAATCGCCACTATCCCTTGTAGGTACATGGGGTTCTCCCTAAGCCGCCAAACCTTAAACCCTAAACCCAAACCCTAAATCCTAAACCCTAAATCCTACTGCCAACCCAATTATTGACTTGCAGCTTCCTGGGACTTATCGGAAACCTACTTGAGGCCAGTAAACCCTAAACCCTGAGCACCTTTTTGTGACTCTAAACCCTATAAGTCCTAAAGCCTAGACCCTAGAAAGGTAGCATGATGTCTCCATGGATGTTTGATTAGTAAGTTCGGACCTTCATTGCCCATTTTGCATGTGTCAAAAACGCTGAAAGCCTGGACCTGCGCTTGCGGTTTAGGGTTGGAGGTTTACAGTTCAGGGTTCCGGGTTTATGATGACCCGAACCGTGGCCAAAGCAATCCTGGTGTTGATCGTTTCTGTACTGGAAAGATTGACCCACCGGTGGTCGGTAGAGAATGAAGGAATATCTTATGTAGGGATGAGATAGGGATTATATAGGGAGTATATTCCCATATTCCCTACTACCCAAAGAATTAGAGCAACAGTTGATCCATCTCTTCAGGTCGCCCTTCTTGTGGAGTACTACGCTGAAGGAAGAATGTGAATAAGCCAGATTCCATCAGCAGGTGGATTGGGCTCATATACTTATACAGGGCAGGGCCTAAGGTTTAGGATGATGGCACTCCCGTAAGTTGTAGAGGGCAGCATTAGTCACACTCTCCATACTGCGAAGCGAAAACGATCATTTTGGTGGCTCCTAAACCCAAAACACTATCCCAGAGGACGAGGGCCCACGAGTATAAGAGTCATACGATAATCTGAGGCTTCTCGTTTATAGTCCCCCTTGAGAGTTAGAACAAGGGGTAAATGGGCAGCTTATTATGATCTCGGGTAATTCCATGTTCTATTTACTTCGAAAGGAATGTAAGGTTCGGGGTTGGGATAGCCAAAATCCCCTTGCCATTGCACATATTAGACATGCTCTGGTTTTATCATATGGGGGAGCTACAGTGCGGTTGAAACAGCTGCGAATCACACTCGTTACGTAAACTAGGTCTATGGGGCCAAAGCCCCTGTCGCCAAGTAGTGCATGTGCATGTTTGCCATGATGACAGAAACTGTGTGTCTTGCAGACACAAATGGGCCATGTACCAATGCAGCTCATACTTGGGTCCCGAAGCAGTTTCCATTTACATGGTTTCGTTCCAGGCCTAAGTATGTGGCACAGGCACTACTCAGAGTGGTTTCAATTATTAGGTACTTCGGAACTGAGTAGAAGGGTTTCGGTCTTAGGGGGTAGTAGTTATAATAAAAGCCCTGGGCAAACATATGATTATCAAGTATTTGGACCCTTGGGGTTATAGCTCCCATCAACTGGGACAGATTCTTGGGCAACCCTTTGCTTGCACTAAAAAAATGTAGAGGCGTCCTTTACGGGATGAGGAGGGCTAAAGGTACCCTCATAAAGAATGAGATGGAGAAGGAAACAGAGAACGAGATGGAGACTGGGTGAGGTTATCCACTTGTAATCAATGGCTTGAGGCACTTCTTTCCAATGATGGAATACCATATGAAAAACATTGAAAAAAAACAAATCCCTAAACCCACAGGATCCATGAGGATGTCAATGCAAAGGGCCGCAGAAATTGGTCATATCAATCTAATCTGAGGTCTATGTCCCAAAGGGTCCATGTAGCTATATGGTATATACGTGGGCTCCAAAGTAGGTATATGGGAAACCCTATGGGCCCTAAGTATATACCACATACNNCTAAACCCTCAACCCTAAACATGGAGGCTTTGGGTGTCAGGAAACCTATGCCCTCATACCGCAAGGAATCTAGGCCATAATAGGGGTAAACACTCAGGCCCCTAACCGACACTATCCCCATATACCATAAACCCTAAGTCCCCATACCCTAAAGTGTAATGAGGGCATAGGATCAGGGCTTAGGGTTTAGGGATGAGGCCCCGACAGTTGTTTGGAAACTACCGCCAAATAGGGCTTGCAATGATGCCAACTACTTCTCAACCGTAAGCCGTAGATCCTATCCCCCAACCCTGAAACCTAAACTTTTTTTGCGGTTTTAAAGGGATACATAGGTAGGGTTCAGGGGCCTTACTTGTACA